AATAATATAGCTCTTTTCAGAGCTGTCTGCTTCTTGGTTTCTGTTAAACGATGGTCTAAATCCTTGTAGCTTGTGCTATGGCTAGTGTGGCTACACCTTCATAAAATATCATATGCTGCCTACGCGTTACGTAATTCACCAGTGTCCTCCCTCCGAATAACGAACTTTTTTTACACACTCGGTGGTCACTGTTTATTAATTTCACTGGAAAACAATGCTAAAAATACCTATAAAGTCACGGTCAATATGTTAAATTATGCACGTGTTTAAAAAAACTGCATATCATTTATATTACACTCGGAATATTCACTCATGATAATATTTTGAGAGTACCTACCAGGTTGTACAAGGTTTGTAGATACTAGGTTTTTACGCAAAAGAGGGACCTGAAAAATCCTGACCATACTCATAGAAGTCTTCTTCCTTGTTTATTTTTATTGGTCTCCTGACTTGGGAAACGAAGCTAAGAACCTTTCTAGAGTACTACAGTACCTCTCTCAAAACAGATTTGTATGTCTGCGGGTATACAAGAGCATAGGTACTGATGTTAATTAAATTGATAAATTCCCTTGCAGTTGAGTCTTCGCGACAACCCTCTAGTAGTGAGGTTTGTCAGAGATATGACGTTGCAACCTCCTTCTTTATTGGAACTGGCTGGTCGCACCATCAAACTACATGAGATACCGATACGGCAAGGCGAAGTACCTTTAACGTTGATGAGGTACCTTGGAGCAGCTCAATGTTGTGTTAATCCCAAATGTAAAGGTAATAAAACATTTTAAAAATGTAAAGCTCTTTGGCCTACCTATGTAGGCAAGAAATACTTTTAAGTTCCATAGAATGGAACTATGCTTAGCAATTTAACAATCATCACAAGAGATGGACACGTAAACACGTTGCTCATGCTCTCATTATTATTGCAAACATTCCGATAAAATAATTCGAACTAGGCGAGTGTGAATCGCAATTCACGCTCGTAGAGAAATCTCATATCTCTGCGCTCTCAATAGCTGGGGCTAGAAACTAAAAACTACTAAAAAGATGAAATTCCTTCCGATATTCTTGTAAAAACTTGAAGACGATATTTTTAATATAATTATGTAGGTATTTTAAGCTTAGTTATGTTCTCAAGCTTAGTAAAATGGCACCGATATAATATGATGGTGATTTACAATACACGAATCCGTTACATTTCTTCCTTTGCAAACTGAGCTGTTTATGTATTTTGGAGAATTGGTAGGTACTTAAGGCTTATCACTCTGATAAAAATGTAAGTATATACGTAAAAAAACATTTATTGGCACAACAATCAAACCCGATGCGCATTTATCTATCGTATTATTATGGGCGTTGACAAGTAAGATGGCGCGGGTGAAGTCAATAAGTTGAGGATGAGTGTGCGTCACGTAGTCCTCGTATCTACCAAAATTATACCTACCATACAGAGGTTATTTTGTTTAAGTAATAGAGATAAACTAAAAGTTATATTCTCATTGAGTAATAATATTATTACAGGTGTTTTCTTTGACAATCGTGTGGAGCACATCAAGTTTGTCGACTTCTGTGGCAAATACCGCATTCCACTTCTGCAATATCTATGTAGCTCTAAGTGCATCACTGGAAGTTGGGAGAGTCGCGAGGCAGATAGCAATCCTCATCCTCACATGATGAGGAAAGTTCTCCTGGGCTGACTATAGCCGCGATTTATGTGGTCTATCCTATCTAAGACCTCTAACAGTAACTTGTAAAATATGATAAAAAAAACTATTTTAGTAAACACTGTTTATTACATACCTAAGAAAATGTTTTGTTATTTCATTGTTATTGTTATCCAGGAGTCTAAATTTGTTTTGATTAATATCTACTTATCTATAAAAAATAAAATAAAACAAGTGAGGAAAAATTGTAGTTAATGTTCAAGTTTCGTTTCTTCAGCATTGGTATACTGATAAATATTTTTTTAGAAATATATTGGTGAATAAATATTGGGGCCATGGTTGTTATAATTATTCATTGTAAGATTATCCTAAGGTACCTACTTGCGCATATATATGTGCCAATATGTGATACATTTTATAGAACATTTATATTGAAATAAAGTATATTTTCATTATTCACTATTTTAATTACACTTTCCCCTAGTACAGCTACTTTAGTTGTTTTCTTGTAAAAATTTCCTCCTTTCTTCTTTGCCTCTCATAATGGCAGCTTTGAATAACCTGCAGTATAGTTCTATGGCTGCTGGAGTATCATCATTGCCTGGCACTGGATAAGTGATCAGGTTAGGATTGCAGTTGGTGTCCACAATGCCAATAGTTGGTATTAACATCTTTGCACTATCTCTAACAGCTGTATGTTGGTTCAAGATGTTATTTTGTGTATTCAAAAATATGCATAGATCTGGTAATCTAGTTACAGCTCCAAATTGATGGTTTGCATTTGTAAAAATGCCTCCCCTCCAGAACCTTGTGTGTGCATATTCCCCACATTCTTTTGCTGTTTTTTCAACCAAATGGGCATTCAGGGCATTTCGGTTGAAAAAACAAATGATACCTCCCCTGTATGCAATATGTGCTGTAAAGTTCAGTGCTTTTCGTAAATGGTCAGCAGTGATGTCCAAATCAAATATTAAATGGCCAAGTCTGGATCCATAGAGGTATGGTCTCATGTAGTCATTCAATGAACCTTCTTTGTGACCATAGTGAACTCTGGCATCAAACAAATCTTTTACTGTAAATAAATTATGGACACTAAAATAATCTGGATGATCTAAAATCTTTTTCTTGGTTGTTTGATCTGAAAAATAAAGGATAAATACAGTTAAAGTAAACATTCATTAAACTTCATAAATTCCAGTTAGATAGTGGTTAGCCTTGAATATTTTTCAATGCAGAAAGTAACTCTATGCAGAATATAAGTAGGAATGTAAACAATCCAGTTATGTTTAGATATATTCATTCTTCATAATAGTGAATTGGAATGTAAATAAAATATACCTAGAGTAGGTATTTTGTTCAGATGACTTAATCTACTTTAATATCCCGTATTTCATGTTAAGGTGGACAAATGGTTACATGGTTAGGTTAGTAAAATAAAAAAGAAAACTTACCTTCAGTTACAGGAGAAGCAACAGGTTCTGTGGCAGTGGAGTTATGTCGTAATATAGGCAAGGTCCGAATAATAGCACGGTGTTCTAAAATCATACATATTTATAAATAAATAAAAATATCACAAAATCTAAAAAAATACTTCATTTATAAGATAGTAAAAAATTGTTCGATATTATTATTTTACCATATAAAGTGTGTTGATACTTACTTAGACAATTTGAAAACATTTTTACTTTTTAATGAGTTACTTTTGTATTATTTTTATGTTATTATTTGATGAAAATCTTTCGTAATACATCAAATCAAAAATACTATTATTTGACAGTTGAAAGTGAGGTTATATATTTATGTATTTATGTGCCCAAGCCCATAGAGATTCTTTTACTTTTTTTTTATTACAATTTCTTTTTTTATTGAAATACATGCCTTAAAATTACAATGACTATACAACCTACATCCAAACACACTTTCATTGGACTCGCAGCTGCCATTGCAGCGGTAAGTCCCCTCTTTGAGGAGTGGCTTGAAAGACGCTACGGCGTCCTCACCTTCCGCCTGACGCAGGTCCTCGCCGGACATGGAAGTTTCGGGAGGTACCTGTGTCTGGTGGGGCGGGAGGAATCGCCCGGGTGTCATCACTGCGAGGACCGCCCTGAGGACACGGTGGATCACACTGTAGTGGATTGCCCTACGTGGGCTGAGCACCGCCGTGCCCTCAGGGAAGTGATCGGCGATGGCGAGCTCTCGCGTCGAGAGTTCGCTATCGCCGACGCGTGAGGCAGCAACGCGCTGACTCCTCGCAACCCAGCTATAGCCAAGTACACACAGGACGTCGGCGAGACGATCTCCCGCCACCGTAAGCACGGGCCTCCAGACGGCGAGCATGGGTGGCTCCCCGTCCGATCAGAAACAGACCCGAGCGTTCGGTGCGTCGCGTTCCGCGCGCGCCTCAAAGAGCCACCAGATCACCACGGGTGGGGCCCAACAGGGGCGATGCCGTTTCGGAGTTGCGGAGAACCTAACGGGTTAGCGGGGCTCCGGCTCGACGTGCAGGAGAAGGAACGGGGTGGTTTTTAGACAATAAGAGTTTGATACTCCCTCCCGGCTCACCCAGGCGTGAGCAGTCATTCGGTGATTTTCCACCCTTTAAAAAAAAATCATACTGACATTTTTTTTTATGGAATAGGAGGCAAACGAGCTGACGGATCACCGGATGGTAAGCGATTAGCACCGCCCATCGACATCCGCAACACCAGAGGAGCCACAGGTGCGTTGCCGGGCTTATAAAAATAAAAACGTTTTTTTTCTTGAAGGTTTGAAGGTCGTATCGGTTCGGAAATACCGTCAACGACATACACATACATATAAGTACATAACTTCATGCCTGTCTCCCATGGGGGCAGGCAGAGACTATGGAACGCTAATTACTACGATTTCTACATACCTACTAGAGGTAGGCTACCTCTTTTGTTTCATCAACAGTCATCAATCTTTTCATCCAAACATACAGAAATAAATTATGTAATATGAATTATTTCATAGAATAATAAGTCGTCATACTGTTCAAATTCTGAACAGGAGCCATAAAAATTTATTAATTATTATTATTTTTTTCCCAAACACCTTTTCTCATCAATAAATAACAATTTGAGGCAGTTTGAGTACTGGCATTTTTACATTCATGTTTTAGACAATGCAGTCTATGGTATAACTAACGTCAAATGCGTCAAACTGTCAACTGACGTGACGTCATATTGTCATTGTCACATTGTGTAAATGTTTGCAATTGCAAGTGTGAATATTTTTTTTAATATATTATCAATTATTAATTAAATACTCATAGGATTTATACTACTGTAAAATTATCAGAATGGCACCGAAGAATATTCAAGATGTTGACTTATACGCTTTGCTGGATATCCCAATAACAGCGACAGAATCTGAGGTATGTTTAGTTTATCTTTTACTAGCGACCCGCCCCGGCTTCGCATGGGTGCAATATGCATGTATTATACATAAAAATCATCCTTAAGAATCACTATCTAATAAAAAATCTGCATCAAAATCCGTTGCGCAGTTTTAAAGATCTAAGCATACATAGGGACAGACAGACGGCGGATAGCGACTTTGTTTTATACCATGTAATGAAGTAGAAGATTAATAAATTAATTTAATTTTTCAGATTAAAAAGGCTTATCGAAAAAAGGCCTTGAAATGCCATCCAGACAAAAATCCCGACGATCCCAAAGCTGCTGAGACTTTTCACGCCCTTTCAGATGCTTTAGAAGTATTGACTGATGCCTCTGCTAGGGCGGCTTATGATAAAGTACTCAGAGCTAAGGCTGCAGCAAAATTAAGACATCAAGAATTGGATAGTAAGAGACAAAAACTGAAAGAGGATCTAGAAAGGCGGGAAAAAGAAGCAGAGACCAACAAAGGAGGTTGTAACCTCACAGATGAACAAAAGTTAGCAGCAGAAATTGAGAGACTACAGAGGGAAGGTAGCAGACTGCTGATGGAAGAACAACAAAGAATGAAGGAAGAAATTAAAAAAACAAAGGGACTTATATTTCAACCTGTGTGGGATTCCAGTTTAAATAGAATTAAAATGAAATGGAAAGCAGATAAAAATGATCCAAACAATGGTGGTTATGATGAACCTACGCTACGAAGATTTTTGAAGAAGTATGGTGATATAATAGCTCTTCTTGTATCTCCTAAGAAAAAAGGATCTGCTATAGTAGAATTTGCATCTAAGGAAGCATCAGAAATGGCTTTAGAACTTGAGAAAGGTAATATAAAATGTCCATGTAATAATAGCTTTCACCAGTAACACTACGGTCCTCACTTCACAGACAATAAGTATCCTATGTCTTTTCCCAGACTAAATTATGTCAGCTCTGCTCCAAACATAGCAATGGTTTTTTAGTGAAATAGTAATTGACTAACATACTAACTTTCACATTAATTATTTATTAAAATAGAATGGTTATTTAGAAAAATAGCTTTTTTTTGTTATATCTGTATACAAAATAATATAATAATAATAATACAAAATAAGTGCATAGGTATTTGTAGAAAGCAAACATACCTATATTTGTGTAGATGATTTTGTTTACTAAAACTTTAGTTTTATTTTCCAGGTTTACCAGACAATCCCTTGACACTAAAATGGGTTAATGACAGGCCAGTATTGACAACCAAGAAAGAAATTCCCGGTCCATCACTAATCTCGGATAGAGATTATGAATCAGTAGTGTTAGCTAAAATGAGGCAAGCGGCAGAGAGACAAAAGTTAATAGAAGAAATGTTAAAAGAAGAAAATAATAAATCATGATACATCATACTGTTGTTATAAGTATCAATAAAAAACTCAATGCAAATGTTATCCTTATATTTTACTTAGTTACATTTAAAACCTTTAAAATTATTTTTTACACTACTGTAGTTCATATTTTGTACCCAACGAGGTGAGCACATACTAAATGTGGTGGTACCCAGTATTTTACCAGGCTTAAATTTCAATTCAGTAATAATTGAGAATTTTAATTATTGAAATACTCAAAAATGCTTTCTTGCCTAATCCAGGAATTGTACTGAAGATCACTTGGTTGGTAGTCCTATTGTTTAAAAGGATCAAAAGGTTTCCATTCTTTTACAAAGTTCATAACTTTCCTTCTTTGACTTTCGCCATTTTCTCTACGAGGGTTCTTCCATAGACTGTGGTCTAGATCCAAAATACCTCCAATAATTTCCTAAAAAAAAATTATAAATAAATATTTAAATTGCAAAATAATATGTGATCTGTTTAAGTCCAAGTAAAAAACAATGAATTTACCTCGGCAAAATTTCTTGGAAACAGTTGTTGGTCTTCAATGACATGAGCAAAACCAGGATCCATTCCAAAGTCAATCCAAAAATATGGCAATCCTTTTGGTATTCCTTTTCTAATGTTTTTGCCTTTCAAGTCTACCACCTTTTTATTCATGGACCATTCTGCTTC